GCAAAAGATATATGAATGAATTTTTTAAATGAGACGAGTGAGAAAAAAAGCAAGAAAAAGAAAAAGAAAAATATGTTTCCACTCAGAATTAACATTTGATCATGTATATAAAATAAACCAATTATTTATAACCCAAAAAGAATTTTAAAAAGTGAGTGATAGCTAAAAATCGGCAAATAAATTGCAAAAATTGTTTGAAAATTCGTGGAAAAGTAGCGTGAAAAATGAGCGATCCGTTATTCTCGTTCGGTCCACGAAAGATCCGAATTCGCAAACAAGGCCGACGTAATTATCAGAGTTGCGTGCACGGGCGTGGGAAAAAGAACGCAACAATTTCCAGGGGCGCCGGGGTACGCGGGATAATTTAAGATGAAGTCGGATACCATGCTTTACCGTAATGCGTGTTACTCCAATTTTACAGAAAGTTCCCCGGTATTTTACACTTTTCCCCATAAAGTCGCCCGTTTGCGGGACTTTCTAGAGCCGGCCGCACAATGTAAACGAGAATTAACGGGCACACTTTACACAACGGATTCCAGTGCGCGCGACCGAGTGAAAACAAATTCACACTCGGAAATTTAATAACGCGGTTAAACGGGCGACAACGGACCGTGGGCTGGGTGGGACACAAAAAGCTTCGCGGCCGGATTGTTTTCGGCGTGAAAGCCACCGAGACACACGGCGATTTTAGGCCTCGGCTGGGCAAACGTCTTCGTAATTAACGACAAAGTTGCACCGAGACGGGAAAAAGATGTTGCGACAATGTTGATGAAAATTCGGCGATAGAGTTGCATTGAGATACAGCGTTGAAGCTGCATATAAAGTTGTGAAGAAAAATGCGGAGGTGGGGTGACAAAGTTGCATAAATACGCGGGTGGCAATGTTGTATAAATATGCGCTGGTAAAGTTGCATAGAGGTGAACCGACAAAGTTGCATAAATTTGCGAGGACAAAATTGCATAAATATGCGAGGACAAAATTGCATAAATATGCAAAGACAAAGTTGCATAAATATGCAAAGACAAAGTTGCATAAATATGCGAGGACAAAGTTGCATAAATATGCGAGGACAAAATTGCATAAATATGCAAAGACAAAGTTGCATAAATATACGAGGACAAAATATCATAAATATGCAAAGACAAAATTGCATAAATATGTGAGGACAAAATTGCATAAATATGGAAAGACAAAGCGAGGGCAAAATTGCGTAAACGTGTAACAAAAAAGATTCATAGACATGTAACGAAAAAGTTGCATGAACATGTAACGAAAAAGTTGCACAAACACGCGACGACAATGCTTTACGAACGTTTTCATTAAAAGGGACAAAGCAGCGATGACAAAGTTCCATAGAGATGCAACCGACAAAGTTGCACAACGCGTGTTGCGAGAACGTTGGAAAAAGTGCCACCGGCAAAGACGCATAAGGTACGTTACGACAAAATTGCACAAATACATGAGAGACATTGCACGAAACTGCGCCGACAAAATTGCACGTTTGCCAGATGCAATTTTGTAAAATGCATGGATAGAAAAGATGTAATACTTTTATCTGAAAATTTCCGCGAACGTGTTTAATTAGTTTAATGTTTCAATGTTCCATCATTTTCCCAGGGAAAATAAGGAAAATGAAATTTCAGATTGGACGATTTTTGGAAACATTGTGCCAGCGATCGTATCGATGTTGTTTCAGCGGTTGTCCATAACGGAGGAACGTTTTCCTACGGAGACGGACGATACGGAAAATGGTGGTCCCCGTTTATACTGCATCGGAAATGCAAAAGAAAACACGTTAAACGAGAAAACATTGTGCCCACTTTATGTAAACAGTTCAAGATTCCTGCACGATGCAATTTCATGCGATTTACGGTCTGCTTGGAACTGATAAAATCAGGTTTTTGTTCGAAGTAAAATTAACAGTAGAAATTCTGACATTTTTACTGGACAATTAAAGCGAATTCATTGCCCTCTTAACTTCTTTGTATTAAGAAGGATCTCTTAGCAGATGATCTTTCGGCAATTTGTTCTCTTTATTCCCGCAAGTCTGTAAAATAGTCTGCAAGAATGGTTATTTGCAATTTGCATAATCGGCGCTATACTGCGCGAACTTTATTCGTTTGTCACATGTATGTAATTTCCGTGGATTTCCTGTACTCGAGAGTCTAATTAATTTTAATTCACATTTTCTTCCGCTTGCAGTCGAATGAAATTCTAAGTAAAGTGTGAAAGTTTCTCGTCGATTCCAATTTCTCCAAATTATCGCGCAAAAATGCGCAATCCTTGTTCCAATCACAGTTGCATGGAGTTAATATTGACATTCCATGCTCAAAGTTGCAGTCGAACTTCGGAAATGAAGTTTCTTCTTTCGTCGAATGTAAAGTCCCATCCAGCATAATTGAAAGAAAGTTTGTCCGTCGTGATATCTTCAACATTATCCCCGCGACGTTACCATAATTCGTACGATCAATGCGCCCATATTAATTATATATTCATTTTGGGCAACCAATATACTCGTATAGCAACATTTCTATTATTATATTATATTATTATATTTATATTATATTTTATTATTATATATTATATTATTATATTTATATTATATTTTATTATTATATATTATATTATTATATTTATATTATACTTTTATTATTATGTATATTATATTTATTTATTTATTTATTTACTAACGGGCATAGGTCCAAGTAGTACATAGAATTAATAACAAAGAACTATAGTACAGACAGAAAGACATAATAAAGACAGAATAAAAGTATAAATTATGAGTTAGAAAATAAAGCGAATAGTGAACGCTTAAAAACTTCTACATCGTTATATTATATTATATTATTATTATTATATTATTATTATTAGTAGTATATTATATTTTTATTATTATATAATATGCTATTTTCTCTCACGACTAAAATTAATTTCAGTCCAAAATGGCGCGCATCGTTAATATAAAATAGTTTCAACATCGCGATAATTAAAACATTTACATTGTTGCATGATCTAACAAGCCCATTCGGTACAGAACGCACCAACAAATATTTTCCATCTACAACATTAAATAAACAATCGCGACGAACACTTCACCGATTCCAAAAATGTCACACTTTATATACCGTGTGCTCCATTTATCAGAAAACACAAAACACAATTCCCAAAGCTTCCGGTAAAAACTATCACAGCAACTCGGACCCACAAAAATCCTCTCCCAATTTATTCGATACATTAAATCGACCACCAAAATTACCTCGTAGATTCTACAGCGTCCACAAAATAAAAGAACCGTCGCGAAACGTGCCTAAGAAAAAAACCGATCCGCGTGACCGCGGCCTAAACATTCGTGGCGCGTCAAAGGCATTTTTAATAAATCGCCCGGGCCCGCCGGGTTGCCCCCATTTTCCCGGCCCTGGCCGCGTCGTACTAGTACACGCGTCTCCTCTCTTTCTCCAGGTCGTGTTTGCGTTTCCATGAAAAATTGACGCGCGCCCGGCACCGATCGAAGTCCACTGAATCACGAATTACAACGGTGTAACGCACGCGACCGTGGGAAGTATTATTTGACAAAATTATATCTGAACGCACTGACCTCCACGAGGGTGATGAGGATGATGAAGAGCGGCGGCGGGCAACAAGTATAGTGATCGGCGTAGTACTTCCGGTCCCTTTCCTCTGTCAGGAACTCGTCGCCGATCATGCGGACCATCCTGCCAAACAGAGTCACATTGTTAGTGGTGTCAATATAATAATTATATATAATAATATTATTATAATAAATTTTATATAATATTATATAATAGTATTATATAATATTATTATAATAAATTTTATATAATATTATATAATAGTATTATAGAATATTATTATAATAAATTTTATATAATATTATATAATAGTATTATAGAATATTATTATAATAAATTTTATATAATATTATATAATAGTATTATAGAATATTATTATAATAAATTTTATATAATATTATATAATATTATTATATTATTATATATATTATTATATATAATAATAATATATTACTGCTTCGAAGATTCTATTTATGGAAATTAGACCGACTAGGGGCTGGATGAAGAGAAAAGTAGATTAGCAAGGAACCAGATCAATGGATTAAAGTAATTCCATCTTAATCTAGTTCCGTATTCTTCTAGTTTCTTATTCATCTAGTTTCTTATTCACTTAGTTTCTTATTTATCTAGTTACTTATTCATCTAGTTGCTTATTCATCTAATTTATTATTGATCTAGTCACCTATTTCTCTAGTTCCTTACTAATCCAGTATCTTATTCATCCAGTTCCTTACTAATCTAGTTCCTTATTCATCCCGTTCCTTCTTCATCTAGTTCCTTATGGATTTAGTTTCTTATGGATCTAGTTTCTTGCGAATCTAGTTCCTTACAGATCCAGTTCCTTATGAATCTAGTTCCTTATGGATCTAGTTCCTTATTCATCTAGTTCCTTATTCATTATTCGTTATGGATCCAGTTCCTTATTCATATTTGTTATTATACTATACTATATGCTATACCATAATCATTTCTTTAAGTGGTTTATAATTTTGTCCACCGGTGCATAAGTAATTCGATAAATAACAAGCTCGATGGACACAGACCTACGATCGCAAATGGACCGCGGACTTTTACGCGAGATAAAAATTCTCTGCATTGTTTGCAATATGCAGGACGTACATATACATTTATTTATTACCTTAATAATTTTAAGGTATAAAATATATATATTTTAACACGTTCCGTGCCGAGCTTTTTTTACTCGAATCTTCACACTTTGATATTTTACTAAAACTTGATGTATTACGTGCAATTATTAATTCTCGTACACATAACAACGTAACAAAAACTTATCAACGCCCATTCTTGCCGTGGAAATTGATTCTTCGGTTCTAAATTTCTTGTAAACAATTTGTTCAGTTCACTAAGTAAACATGCAAGCGTGTACCATCGATGGTACACGTGGCACGGAACGTGTTAATATATATTTTAAATTTTTTAAATGTTCGCGCTGGTTGCAACTCTTGTCAGCAATGCGTAAAAACCACGGTCTAATCGCGAGTAATCGGCTGAACAAATGATATATTGTTTACTAATCTAATTTCGTCCCGCGTTAACGCAACTATCGCCTATTCTCGCCGAAAAGCATCAGCCGTTCGAAGATTCGGGTCGACGTCGATCCCCGCGGACCATAATTATCACATTTACGGAAAAGCTCGTCGGCGAAGAGCCGGGTTTTTTTTTCCCAACAAAGTACCCGGATACAGACTCCGAAATTAATCTATCGAGCCGACGCGGCGCGTCCCGGCGCGGCGATGGTATATTCTCGAACTAATCATCGGCCCGGAGCGATTTTCGCGCGCGGAGGGATAACAGAGCGCGCTCGTTAATCGTCGCCAGAGGTAGCGAAATAACGAGGAATTAACTTCGCCAATTCGCCGGGAAGAAAAGGAATAACACGAGCCGCGCAATTACGGCCGACTTCTGGCGTCTATAGTTCCTCATTATCCCGGCCTGTCAATATCTGACAGTGGCCACGCGCCGCGCCCCGCTCCCCGCCGCATTCATTAACGTTAAATTCATTGTCCGATCCGGGACACTGTCGAAAATACAGTGATTTCTCCCAGAAATGTTCGGAGGTCGGAATTGAAAAAAAAAAATCGGCAGATCCGAGAATACTAAGTCGAGATTCTTCGGGTCTCGCGGTTCGTTTTTGTAGAAATTCGAGGCAGTCGGCGAAAAAAGGCAGTGATCAGCATGTCGGTGTACATTAATATGAATACATAGCAATGTTGGGATAAAAACGATGACTTAACATTTTTATTTCTTAATGTTTTGCTACGATTCACAGGCAATTTGGAGGCCACGTGACACGATTCGCAGGCAATTCGGAGAACACGTGACACGATTCGAAGGCAATTCAGAGGCCACGTGACACGATTCGCAGGCAATTCGGAGAACACGTGACACGATTCGAAGGCAATTCAGAGGCCACGTGACACGATTCGCAGGCAATTTGGAGGCTAGGTGACACAATTCGAAGGCAATTCGGAGGCCACGTGATACGATTCGCAGGCAATTCGGAGAACACGTGACACGATTCGAAGGCAATTCGGAGAACACGTGACACGATTCGCAGGCAATTCGAAGGCCACGATCACATATCTAGTAATCTACCACGTACAATAGTAATCGACCCTTAGCATGGACGTAGCAATAAATTACATAGGCGTAAAACTAGCACGGGGAAATTCACAGCAACCCGAAATTTGGCATTTCCGGGAGAAATTACTGTACCCTCCTAAAGCTCGGTCTCATCGTTCCTAAGATGCTCTAGCAATCTTCACTGACCAAAAAAATGTTGGAGACACCATTGAAATCAGTTTTTTGGTAAACGGTGCCGACAATCGTGCAATTTTATTTTAAAATATTTGTTTATTAGGTTTTACGCGGTTTTAGTATATTATGCGACGTCTGGCAGTAATTTCCAGCAAGTTTCATTTGCATCAACGATGCTTCGTTTGTAATATTTTTCTTGCAATTTTGTGAGAAATTCAAAATTTGCGCAAATTACCCGCGCTATTTGCCAGTAAGACCTTGCTAGATGTTCCAATTTCCGTGTCCTTATGGCAGTTTTTGCTTTATCGAAGCTGCTGTTAAATACTTCGATTTTCATTTAGTGCGCTAAAACTATATTTCGATTTTCCAGGCATTTCTGTCTTTAAAAATGTTTCTCTACGTGACAAAAATTAGTAATTCAATGACGTTCTTAATGGAAGAAAAATTGGTGTTTTCGATTTCAATTCCGTGCACATTCCGAGGTTCTGCGCACCGTTTTCAACTATTCTTAATAATAATAAAAAATGTTTAAATGTCATCGAAACATGCATAAATAAACATTGCGAATGTGACTGTAAAAAATGTCATAGCTTGTCGCAAAAAAAGAATCCCAAAGAAATGTAAAACATCCCCTTAAGTAAACACCGCTCCACATAAATTAGCATAATTTTCCATCCTTCTCGACGATTTCCAACAACAAAAATTAGCAAACGTTCCTCGAGCCAGGTGCGAACTGATTAAAAAATTTCAAGAAAAACCACCGATCGATTCGCTCGTAAAAAAAAATTCGCACGGTCAATCGAGTCCTATTCGAAACAATCGGCAACGCTGTCCGCAAGTAGTGCCCCAAGGTCACGGGCTCCCACGTCCCATAGACCACTGTGCGACCCGGAGCGCGTATCCAGCGTTACGTCATCGGAGTCACGTGGCCATTAGAAAAATGCCGGGCGATTCGAACGGGTTCAAAGGCCGGCGCGGCGTTCCCCGAGGGAAAACGGGAACAAAAGGCGATAAAACGGTTAAGCCGCGCTGTTGGGTCCCACGAGGCGGTAAGGTGGGACGCGCGTGGGAGGACGGCGGGACGTCCAAGTATCCGTGAAATGGAAAACTAAGCCGTCCGAGCGCGGCGGGCGAGTCGAGTCGAGTCGAGTCGAGGCGAGTTAGGCGAGCGCTCGCGAAAATGAAGACGGTCAGAGAGACGCCGAGAGATATGGTCGGCTTCGGTCTGAAAGGAAGAAGAGGCAAAGGGTGGATAGTGGATATATCTCGAATGCAGAGTGGGTAGAATGGTGGAAGCGGCGCTGCCAGCTCGTACTCGCGCACCTAATTGCCAGTGCGCGCCTCGAGACACCGTAGATCGCACGAGCGATTTCCAATTAGCGATGTGACTGATATACCTGGGTTCAAGGAAACGGGAAAGGGGTCGTGTGCCTCCGCTCTCTCTCTCCCTCTCTCTCTCTCTCTCTCTCTCTCTCTCTCTTTCTTTCCCTCTTCCTCACTATCTAGTTTTCTCTCCCACTTTCACTCTATCTTTCTTTCTCTCTTGCTCTTTATTTCTTTCTTTCTCTTTCCTGCTATTTCTCCATTTATCTTTCTTTCTCTCTCTCTCTCTCTCTCTCTCTTTCTTTCCCTCTTTCTCACTATCTAGTTTTCTCTCCCACTTTCACTCTATCTTTCTTTCTCTCTTGCTCTTTATTTCTTTCTTTCTCTTTCCTGCTATTTCTCCATTTATCTTTCTTTCTCTCTGTCTCTCTCTCTTTCTTTCACTCTTCCTCACTATCTAGTTTTCTCTCTCTCTTTCTCTCACTTCCACTCTATCTTTCTTTCTCTTGCTCTTTATTTCTTTCTTTCCCTTTCCTGTTATTTTTCCATTTATCTTTCTCTCTCTCTCTCTCTCTCTCTCTCTCTTTCTTTCCCCTTTCCTCACTATCTAGTTTTCTCTCTCTTTTTCTCTCACTTTTACTCTATCTTTCTTTCTCTTGCTCTTTATTTCTCTCTTTCCCTCTCCCGCTACTTCTCCATGTCTCTCTCTCTCTCTTTCTCTATTACTCCCTTTCTCTCTCACTCTATATCTTTCTCTTGCTCTCCATTTCTCTCTTTCTCTTGCTCTCTATTTCCATCTTCCTCATTTCTCTTCCTTTCTCTCTGTTTCACTATTACTCTCTTCCTCTCGCTCTCTATTTCTCTATTAATCCCTCTCTCTTTCTCTTCCCTTCTCTCTGTTTCTCTATTACTCCCTTTCTCTCTCACTCCATATCTCTTTATCTCTTGCTCTCTATTTCTCTCTTTCTCCCTATTTTCCTCTTCCTCTCTCTCTATTTCTCCATTTCTCTCTCTCTCACTCT